AGAACTGTCCTCGAAAATTGGCTGCTGTAAACTTCTAACAATTATTTCCAGAATTGGTGCAATCAGAAGTGCTATTCAAAACACTGTTGAATTCCCTCTATTAAGGAGTGGCAAAACTATCAGTCTATCACCATTCCTATCAATACTTAATACAATTATCAGGAATTAATAAAACTGAAAACTACAAGTCAGTGAGCCCACATGGGATGTCAGAGTTAGCCTAACAACATGTTCCTACCCACCCAGAAATGATTTAATGATATTACAAACCTGTACTGTTATCAAGAATATTAAGAAAAGTGGCTCAAGGTTTCCAGCACAGTGGTAAACATTTCACCCTTCCTTTGGTACAATTCAGACTTCTATTCTTTGTGAAGTAACAATGAATTAATAAAGTTCCTTTCTACTAAGAAATTAAGGGTGTGCATTCAGGAAAAGTGCCACAGTGATAACGTCAAAGAAAACCAGCTGTGTGCTGATAAGCTCAGTGTGAAATGGCACTATGAGATCTTAGGCCAGTGTAAAGATCCCTGACTGTTGGATCCATTCTAGTAAGGACCAGTGATGGTCCTGCCCTGGGGACAGAGAAATCTTTTGAGAATCCAAACTGGCAGCTCAGCATCCCACTGTCACATAAGCCAGGAAAGAGGACAAGATGTCGTGACGTGGTTCACGGCAAAATGTGGCAAATTGAGGAATGCTGCCTAAATCACACTTTGACAGAACTTTTATAGCTACTGTCATGGAAAGATATTATCTCTCATGTTGGGCTGGTTTGGGCTGAAGTAGAGTTAACTTTCTTCACAGTGAGTAGTATGGGGCTATGTTTAGGATTTGTGCAGAACACAGGGTTGATAATGTAGATATGTTTTTGTTGTTGAGCAGAGCTCACACGGAGTCAAGGTCTTTACTGCTTGTGAAGAAAGTCAACTCTACTTCAGACACAGTTCACAGAAGAATCCATAATCTATATCAACATAAGTCCAGTATTTTATACACGTAACCAGCAAGAGACATCTCCCTGTTTCTTCCTGCAGGGAACATCCTTATTCAGGATGTACATTGCTCACAAAGTTAGGATTTTCTTGCTCAAAGGCCAATGAGAATTCAGAGCTGTCAGAGAGATTATTAATGCGGTTCTTCTGACAAGTAACATCAGAAATGGTGCTGAGGATAAAAATGTATCTACTTTATACAGGCAAACCCCATACAATTACCATACTTGAGCATTCATTTTCATTTGCCTCAATTAGATCAAGATATACCAGTAATGACGTAGCACAATACAAGTAACACAAATTGCAAACACAGCTGGCATAACCACAAAGACCAGGTTGAACTGGGACGTTATCCTACTACAAATGCACATCACTGCACTAGTCAAAAAGGCATTTGATGGTGAAATAAAGTTTGATAAATTTTCCTGTAGCCATCAGTTTGATCAGTACAAAGATGCCTGAGTCTAACCCACAAAACCTCACATCTCTGTTGAGAACATCGCTTGCGACTGGAAAATATAGCAGATGGTCACTGCTGTCATGGAAAATAAGATATGGATTATGCCTACCTCCTTCCACCTGTCACTAATCAGTGTAATTTCCCTAAAACTGTGTATGAGATGCTGTTCTTAATAAATCATGGGGCTGTGAAATTCTAAGTCAACACCATGGGGTGACTGACACTACTCTAAAAAGCACACATAGCAAGTGAAGAAATCATCCTGCTCCTGGGCCTTAGCAGCAGCCCAAATCAGTGCTCAACATCAAGAGACATGAAAGCTGTGTTAGGACACAGTTATGTTTATTCCTATGGCTGACAGGAATGAATATATTTTGCTTGAAAAACATGTGCAAGAACATGTTTATTGAATTTTGAAAATCTAAGATCTATAGGGTCTAGCCACAGTTCAAACATCTTGTGAATGTTTGGGAGGTCCAGCCTTCAACTTTAGAAAAAGCAAGAAGCAGATATCTCACCAAAGTGACAGTTAAGAAAGACACTACTAATACAACAGAGGAACAACAATGACAAAGCTAAGAAAGAACAATGTCATGGGTGGTAAAAAGATTTGATACATCTTATACATCATCGAAAAGCATAAGGGTACATGAGGTATTCTCCTTATAAACATGAATGCACTATCCAAACATTTTGGCTAGAAGGTCAAGTTCTATATCTCCGTTGCTTTGGCTGACTACTGAAGAGCACTGTGGGCAATGAAGTTGGTGAATCACAGAAATTAAAAGTGTTAGTGAAGGAGAGTACATTTGCACTTGCGAGTAGTTTTATCTACTAAAAACTTGCATCAAATTTTCTTCAGTGGAATACAATAAAGATTAAAAACTATTGGCATCGATTATTATACTTAAAATTACCGCAACAATTGAAACACCTACTGCACCAGTGCTTCTGTGACTGGTGACAAAGAAGGAAGCAACAGACAAAAATGGAACAAACCAGCCAATTGATTAGACAAATATTTTACAGAGCTCTCTTGAATGAAGTCCAAACTACTTGTTCAAAACAAATTATACAGTAGAAAATATAGTCTATGTGAGAAATAGCTGCATCTTTGCTCATAAAATGTGCCTATAGACAGAAGGAAGAACTTGAAAACACATATATCCATGGAAGGGAAAATTGTCAAAGCCAGTGTTCTGCTGAGACATGTTAGGAGGACACACAGTCAAAACCCAATGCACTGATCAATGAAGACTCATGAACACCATGTCCCCGAAAAATAATGCAGTGCAGTGTCCTTTCACTAGTGGAAAAGGTCCACCATCAAACCACCAACAATGCTGTACAACATCTTCTACAAAGCTAAGGGTGAAGGAACAGCTTTCTAAATCCAGGAACGGAGACTACACATTCTCAAATGAGGTTAGATTTCTGTTCATCTTTCAAGGGCTGCTTTAAATTTTGTATGCAGTTTGAAATAAGATCATTTTAACATAAGGCTTTGTAAAAACGTATTTTTAGAAACATAACCATTTAGGGCAAAATGGTAAAAATTACAATATTTTTCTGGTGCCTTAACTTGGAAGTGTGTTTCTCACTTTATATGTGACAACAGTTATATAGAACTGTGATCACAGTGAATGTCATGATGCCGAGTGAAAACTAGGCAGCTGTAACAAGATACTGACATTTCTTTTTACCATTTTATTAAAATGACCTTTTAATAGCTTTAATGTTAATATTTTCCTGTCTCCATAGTTCCCAACACTTTCCTGTTTTCCATACAGCTATGACATGTAAGGCAGAGCCTATTTCAGTATAAACTCACAGGTGCTGCCAGGAAGGTTACTTTAGGCACCTAGCAGAACAGTTTTCCTCATGCCATTTTCACAACCACCAGCACTGGGCTGGTTATACAACCCCCACCCCTCTTCTTACCGTTCTCCAAAACAACATTCACAGCCATTGTTGTTATATCTTGAACACAGGCAGCTTGAAACCCTTCCCCAGGAGGAGTGTTGTAGGTGCTCAGTCCAGTGGCTTTATTGATGTATATTGTCCTACCCGATGAAGCATCAAAATCTTGCAGCCATACAGAACAATGCAAATCCCTCCTGGGATCACCTGTGCTTGTGTTGTCTGCAGAGAATTCCAAGTCACTTTGTAAGGCCACATGGGAAACCTCAGTGTCTTTCAAATTTTGTTCTGGGGATTCATCTACCATACTTTTATCTTCACAGATTATGTCACTCCCATCATTTTTAACAGGCAATGACAAAACACTGCTTGAAGAGACTGTGTACTCCCCTTCTATGCTGCTGAGTGGTGAGCTGACAGAACCCTTCATGGACTCTGCTATCACATCATCTGATTGTGAGCATGCATCCTCCTTAGAAATGCTGTAATTACATTCCCTTGCTTTTTCAACTGAGGATTTATGTGTCTGACAAGCATTATACAAAAAATCATTTGAGGATTCAAGATCAAAAGAGTAGTCATCTTTTCTGTTTGAATTTGTTTTGAATTGTTCACCAAGTTGTTCTACTTCTTTGTGTTCAGTTTTCATTCCGGACAGTTTGGATGACAAAGATCCTGGAGATCTTTCACAATTTGTATTTTTTTTACTAAGCAGAGAGTAATCAGGCAATGTCAAAGGACTCTGACAAAGGGCTCGTTTGTCCAGTGATGATTCTCCACTGCAAAATAAAGTCTTTTCCAAAGAACCAAAAACTTGTCTAGTATTATTAGAATCTGTATCCTCCACAGGTGGAGCTTCACAAGTGCTTAAGTTACCACAGTTGTCATTCTCAATTCTTGAAAAGTCACAATTAGTTTGTGAATTAAGAACTGGGACACCAAGTTCACTTCGCTCTGACAAGGGTGTTGGTAGCATGGAATTCATGCTCCCATAATACCTCCTGAACTTTTCTAACGAACCCAGCTGTGTGCACAAGCTCAGTGTCTTAAAGGGCTGAGGTCTTGGCACAGTTATTTGTCTTGCAGTTCTTTTAATAACTTTATTGTGAGGAATACCTGATGAAGTTGCCAGTGGCAATTCTGTATCATTTGAAGTCCCATGATATCTTTTACTGGTGGCAGTAGGCACAGCTGTCTCCTCCCTCACCTGATGGGACAAAGTTTTGTTCTCATTACCATCAGTCATGTGTACTTCTCTGGTATAAGGAGCTGTATATTCTTTATTTGTGTTACTGGAAACAGCCTTAGCACTCAAAGATTTAATTGCAAAATTCACTTTGTGGCCAAAAGTATCCTTGGGACTGGTAGGGCCAGGCCTGCACTGTGTGTTTAATGCAGGATTCATTTCTGTTTGCTCACACTCTTGTGGGGGCTCATGTTGCATAACACATCTTATGAGGCCTGTAGAGCTCAACTTTAACGGCATCGAACTAACAGCCTCTCCTCCAGTACCATCTCTCACTTCAGCTATTTCCCTCTCTCCTCCTCTTGCATTACACAGTCTTATCAATGAGTCAGTTGCAGGTCCCACTGCTGTTTCAGTAGGGTCTTCTCTCTCAGGCAGTGACTGAACAACATCCTTGTTTAAGGTACTGACCTTACTGCTTTTATGTGTTACTTCGCCTTGCTGGCTGCACACATCTCTTTTGTAGCTCTCTGCACAATCCTGCAGGTCACAACTGTCTATTTCTCTTATTTCTGACCTGGCCCCTCCACCGAAAGAGAAGCAGAGACTTTCTGAAGGTTTCAGATGAGTATCAGATGCTTTTGGGGAACTGTTAGGGTGTTTTGGCTTCTGCTCTGAGGTATTTGATTTAATTAAATCAGCTGTGTCATCTTTGCCAGGCACTGGCATCTCTGCTTTATTGTTTCTACATGGATCAGACGACTCAGCAGACTTCTGATTTGGGATGATTTCGGTTTCTTGTACATTTTTACTTGACTCTGTAAGACTTGGAATTTTTTTTCCAGTAACGGGTTTCCTTTTGACATCTTTCGATTGCAAGGTACACATTTCATAGGAATCCACAATTTCATCACATGCTTTCTTAAAACTGTCCTGTGTGCTCTTCTCAGCAGGGATCGAGGGCTTCGGAGCTGGGGCGTTATGCAAACAGAAGTCACTATCTTCATTAAATTCCCTGACATCCTCACTGCACGGCTCAATAAATAAATGCTCTCGTTTCAAAAATATTTTCACTCCTTCCTCTACGCAAGTTAGAAGAAGATCCCAGTTCTGGAACTCAATCAGAGTCTTTGCAGGTTCCAGGCACACATCATAGTCACTGTAGGGACAGGTCACATTGAGGACAAAGATCCCATAGAACTCTGGGCCACAGCGATGGTGACCAGGGCTTGAACTGGCCTGTCGGCTCGCAGGGATGCTTTTTGCCCTGCAAATTACACTTTCTTTTCTTAATAAAAAATCAATTAGTTTATGTAGCCTTGTCTTTAAAACAAGCCTCCTATTCACATACAAAAACTGCATGTTCTTATTGTAATGTCCCTCAATGCTGATATAGCCACTGATCTCAAATCCCCCAGACTTGTGATTTATCTCTCGCAACTTCTGGGACCTTCCCAGCCCATAAATTTGACAAAATCGAGAGTACACATCTCTTGTCTTACGGAGCTGAAGCACCATAGAACAAGAAACATCGTTCCTTAAGGAAAGGGAGACAGAAGGATGCATTAGTGAAACAGCCTCTACCCTCTGTCTCACTCTCTCAAACTCCAGCACAGGATCCATACACTTTCTCCTCACTGGTAACTGGTGGAACAGATTGCACACGGTGACTGTAGTTCCACCACTTGGTCTGCTCAATTCAGCTTCATATACTTCCAGTGCTTGCCCATTGTGAAACAGTTTCACAAATGTTTTTGATGTCCTGCTGGTCTTAGATGAAATTTCCACCACACTGGCCATGTTGGCTATACTTGCCACAGCCTCCCCTCTGAAGCCGTAGAATGTCAGGTTCTCCAGGTCTCCCACTGAGCTGCACTTGCTGGTGAAGTACCGTTTTCCAACAGCCTGTAAGTCCTCTTTCCCCATCCCAGAGCCGTTGTCCACTACCTGGATCTTAAAAGCTTCCAAATCCACTCTGATGGCTATACATGTTGCTTTGGCATCGATGCTGTTGAGGACAAGCTCCTCAACACACTGGTCCAGTGAGTTGATGGTCACTCCAGAACGCAGCCTGGCTTGCACATCTTCCACCAACCGTCTGATCATGTCAAAATCAGACAGGTGAGAACCTCAAGAGACCGTGGGGAGCTCACTGCTCCATCTTCCTTAAAACAACGCCCTGAGTGGAGAGAAAATATAAAAGGAATACAGATTAAAGGCCTGAATGACCTTTCATTTATTGCATTTATCCTCATGAATACACTTTTTAGTTTTCCTGGCACTCAGAGGCTTTCTCTGTGATTACTTTCCTGCTCAGGCTCTGACGACACATTGTTGGTGCCTTCAGGGTAGGCAGCCAGAGGCTGAGTCCAAACTCCTTACACTTGATTCTCAAACCTAACATTCTGAAAACAAACTCCTCCCGTATCAGGCAAGACTCAAAGGACCTACAAACAAAAGGCTTCCACTGTCATTTTTATCAGGATTATAGAGCAAGCACCACCAAGCACTGCTTTTTAGCAGTGCTTTTACCTCAGCGTCCCCACACAAATTCACAACGCATCGAACAGCATCACCTGCTGCCACTTGCGCAGGGAAAGAATAAAGCAGGCTTGGGAACGGGTGTCAGGCAGGAAGGCAATTCATGTGAAAGAGTACCCACTATTTTCCACTCCTCAACTGTCTCTAAGCGATCCCCGAGGCCGCTGCTCGCGCCTGCGACAGGTCCCCAGAGGCTGAAGCGGCAGAGCAGCCCTGCCCTCACCGCC